CAATGAAGGGTCATATGGTACCACACATAAGGAGAAAGTAGCATATAATAGAACACGCCCTGCCTCTGGAATCAAAGAACTTGAGTTCATATCCTGTCTTTGATTCTTATTTCCTTTGACCTTGGACAAAGCACTTAACCTTTCTAAGCCTCAATTTATTCATCTGTAAAATTAAGGAGTTGGAGTGGTTGACCTCCCAGATCCCTTCCAGCTCTGAATCTCTGAAATTATGATCAGAATCAGAGAAGAATAAGAATCAAGAATAAGAGTAAAGGAAATCATCAGAGAAATAAATATGCTCAAAAAAAGGAGATGCTCTGTTCATGTGACTAGAGTAAGAAATAATTGGTAGACAGCCTCTGTGTGTTACAGGTATCTTCTTAATGTCAAGAGAGAGCAATAAAGGTCCCCGGCATGTTGAATGGACCTCATATAGTGAGTCTGTGGGAGAACTTGAACAAGAATTAAATGGAGGAGGAGAGGGAAGTAGAGAATTTGGAATTCAAAACAAAAAAAAGAAGAATGTTAAAAATTGTTTTTATATGTAATTGGGGAAAAATAAAATATTTTTAAAAAGAATTACATAGGATAGGCAATCCACATTAATGAGATAATTAATCATTTGAGTATTCTGAGCATTTGAAGTTACTAGACAACTTACATGGTGGTCTGGAGTCAAAGAAGGTGCTCTTATCTCCCAACATATCCTACATTGGACTTAGTAAATACTGTATGAGGCAAGGGTTGAGTAGTGTTTGGATCATATTATGTTGTAAGGATTTTATAATAAATCCGCCTGTGTCTCTGCATGGAAGACACTGCTTCTCTCATTCTATTTATTCCCTTATTGTATTAATAAAAAATTCATGTAAGCAGGACCACAGGTGGTCAAGAACTAGATAGGCCTGGAAGGGATGTAGGACAGAGACATCTTATTTGCTTGTATTTGCTAGTTCCTTTGGTTCTGTCCTATGAAAGATGAGGGCATTTGGGTAAGATTTTGCCATTTGCTTATTTGATTATTTTCTCTATTAAGTTTATACAGAGATTTTCTTTATTAAGTTTATAAAAAGATTTAAAAATGCTTCACTTCCACACATAGAAACATGTTACATACTTAAGCCTCACTTTGACAACTTGGAGCATGCAATATTATGATCACAGGCTGTTTCCTAGGTCAAAAGATGTGGGCATGGGAAAAAGGGAATATGGGTATAGTAACACTGACTCCATCCATTCCTCCGTATGGCTGACCATATGCTAATTTGTGGTATGACCACAGAGCTTGGTAATCCAGCCCTTCTCCCTGAGGGCACTGTAATAAAGTGAAAAGATGCCCTGGGAACCAGTCAACCTGAGTCCTGGTCTTACCTCTGTTGCTAACTAGCTATGCGATCCAGAATAGTCATTCATATAATTTTCTGAAAGCCTTCATTTCTGCACCTGCGAAATGAGATTAGGCAGGAGAAAATGAGAGTCAGGCTAGGAGGTCTTATGTTAATCAAAAAAATTTATGATTTCTTGGAGACGGGTTTTCTGAAGAGCTACAATAAGGCATCTGTGATGTAGTGGAAAGAATTTTAGAGTAAAAATTCCTGTATTTGCATCCAGATTCATGTGCCTTTGGGAGATTCATAGAGTTTTGGATTTTGGAGTGAATCTTGGTTCTTATGTATCCTTGGGCTGATCACTTCACGTATCTCAGAGGCAATTTCCTCAAAGATAAAATGATGACGTTTGAATTAGATGACCATTCAGACCCCTTCAAATAAACTTATGAATTTAACTTGATCTCCTTGTATTTTAGTTTTCCTTATCTATAAAGGGGAAATAATAATAACATCTGGGCTATCATAAGGATTCAATGAGGTAATGTTTTTGAAAACTTAAAAGTGATATGTAAATGCTAGGTGTTAAGATCATTACCCTAGAGTCAAAGGCAAAGGCGCCTCACCTTGCTTGCTACCTCTTGATAGCTTTTTGGAATTTCAGCTTTCTCTGTTCTGGTTCGTTCTTCCCATTCTCCAGACTTGATTAAAGCTTATTTGTGGAATTTGGGAGTTGCTGAGGAAAGACTGCTATAAGATACAATTACAAAGCACTTTCACCATCTTTAAAAAATACTAGAATTGTGTTGCAGCTAGGTGGCATTTTGGATGGAGTACCAGACCTGGAGTAAGAAAGACATATCTTCCTGAACTCAAATCTGGTCCCTGACCTGTATTAGCTGTGTGACCCTGGGCAAGTCACTTAATCCTGTTTGCCTCAGTTCCTCATCTGTAAAATGAGCTAGAGAAGGAAATGGCAGACCACTCCAGTATTATTGCCAAGAAAACCCCAAATGGGGTCATGAGGAGTGGGAACTGTTCATATTTTTTTTTTAATGAGATAATCAGTAAGCATTAGCAGTTGAGTTTTAAACATCAAATTCAACATCATGTAAGTGGCCTTTCTTATCTGTCTGAAAAGGTTCTTTTAAGAATCACAGGCTGGGGCAGCTGGTGGCGCAGTGGATATAGCACCAGCCTTGAAGTCAGGAGGACCTGAGTTCAAATCTGGCCTCAGACCAAACACTTGACACTTATTAACTGTGTGACCCAATTGCCTAAAAAAAAAAAAAGAATCGCAGGCTGTCTTCAAGTGTAACAAAGTGTTCTGCACCATTATCTCTTGTGATCCTCAAGGCAACCCTGTAAGGAAAGTCACACAAGTGTTAATAACCCCATTTTACAGTTGAGAAAGCCATCCTTTCCATCAGATAACTAAAATCCAGTTCATGTTGTTAGTAAGTCATGCCTTCTAGTATTCAAAACCAACGACAACACTTTTTCCACTATAGTTTGTCACTCCATGGCTTGTACTCATTCATACATATGCCAAACATTAATTAAGCACCTATCTTATGCAAGAACTGTACTAGCAGCTTAGGGAGAGAAAAAGATAAGTCATAATTATTTTCCCATCAAGGAATAGGTAGTCCAGTCTAGATGTCACAGAAATAGTATAGTACTTGTTAGCTCAGTTATACAAAAAAAATTTGATGGTCTTTAATGTCTCTTCTAGCTTTAAATTGAATGAGTATCTTAGGTATACAGAAAGAACATAAAGAAAGCCAAAGTCAGGCTAGGGAAGAATCACTTCCAATTCTGGTATCTGGGAAGATTTCATGGAAAAAGTAGAATTTAAACTGAGTCTAACTTGACATTAAAGAAGATGCATTAACATCTACTTTGATATTGTACTCTAAGGACCATGATTTAAGGCCCATGTTTATTGACTGACTAAATGACATTTTCACCTGCATTTTAGCTGAAACCCATATAGGTTGTCTCTCTCCATTAAAATATCAGCTCCTTGAGAGCAGGGACCGTCTTGCTATTTTTATTCCTACTGCTCATCTCATTGCTGTGCACACTTGTTGTTGTTGTTGTTGTTGTCGTTGTTATTGTTTAGTTGTTTTCATTCATGTCTGACTCTTTGTGACCCCATTTGAGTTGTTTTTTTCCCCACAAACATACTGAGGTAAACAGGGTTATGTGAGTTGCCCAGGTTCACACTGCTAGTAAGTGCCTGAGGCCAGATTTGAAATCAGGTCTTCCTGACTCCAAGCTTGGTGCTCTATCCACTATGCAACCTAGCTGTCCCATAGTTCTTCCTATGAGCTTTGCTCATAATTAAGCTCTTAATAAATGTTTTTCATTCATTCATCTAAAGATGGGTCAATGGGGAAAATGTCAATGGGTAGAAATGGGGGCAAGCTGTCCCAGAAGCAGGAAACAAAATGACCAAGGAAAGAAAGTAAAAACAATGAAGGTTTCTGAGCTGTGGTGTGACTAGTCAAAGTGGAGTAAGGAAACTTGGGTTTGAATCCTAGAATGAATGACTTATGAACCATTTACCCCACAGAAAGGATGGCTTCCCCATCTGTAAAATGGGGTTATTATCATTTGCAGAACTCACCTCATAGGGTTGTCTTGAGGATCACAAGCAATAATGGTGCAGAGCACTTTGTCACACTTGAGGGGCTCTCGAGGGGTCACTCAAGTTATTAGTGGGATTAGACCTTTTGCTTTAGCATGAACTCCTGCTCTTTGACTCCTTTTGAATTCTACAGGTTTTTCTCATGCTTTTTCATGTTGTTCAAGAATAACACCTGGGCATTCCTTACTGAACAAAGTGTATTTCCCTGTCAGTCCCTTGTGTAAATTATGCCTAATGGCAGATAATTAATCTGGAGCATTTTGAAGAAAAAAGGAAGGCCTCCCTGAGCCTTTACTAATTAGTTTTTTCCTGACCCTAGTGCAGGGCTACAAAATGGACTGCACTAAATTAAGCCACCCCAGACTGGGGTGATTCAGGTATGCATGACTAACCTCAGTTTAGTTCCTCTGATTCTTACAGCATGACTTCAAGATTCCCAGAAAGAGAATGGCTTCATGGAGAATGCAAATGCTATTTTAATTGGTGATGCATGGGGCAACACACTAGGGAAGGATGCATCCTGTTTCCTCCTTGTCCCTAATCATTTTTCCCGAGCATTATTTAAATACAGTAGGAAATTTAAAAGCTTTTTAAGTGTTAGATTATAGTTCTCAAATAGAATCTGCTTAACAAAGACTCTCTTAAACTACTTAATGTTGGCTTTGTGAAGAACATTAGAACATAAAAATGTTCATGTTGAAAGGACCTTAGAACATCAAACCAAGTAGTAGAGCTGGAAGGGACCTTAGAGCCAAAGATATTAGGATGAAAGCAACCTGAGGGAGAGCTCATCTGGTCTAACTCCTTTTAAAGATGGAGAAACAGAGAAACTGACTCAGATAGATGTGACCTCCATAGTCACCCTCAGCTAGTTAGAAGTAGAGTAGAGATTAAAATCCGGAAGTCCAAATGCCAGTTCCATAGCTTTTCACTTTGACCCAAGGAAAAAAATGTTTATAAAAGATGCATTTTGATAAGCAATTCATCGCTAAAGTAAAATAAAATTTTTAAATTTGCAGAACTATGGTAAGGTATCGAGAGGACCAGCCCTGGAGTCACAAAGACTTGGGTTCTATTCCTGCCTCTCACACATACTGTATGACCTTGGGAAAATCACTCACCTTCTCAATGTCCCAAGCAACTTTCGAAGAGTTTAAATTACAGATGAGTTACCGGTCTAGAATAGTAGAAGGATACAAATCCTGAAGCCTATTGACAAAGGCCTCTCTCCTCACAGGTAAGAACGAATGCTCTTCCCTATGTGAGGGGCAGGGTAGTGTTGTTGAGAGTGGGAGAGCTCAAGTCTCTTTAGTTTTCTTTAGATCTTTGAGTTTAAGAGTCTCTTCAGGCTCTGCAGTGACTATGGGTGCTTCTAGCTTCCAGCTTTATGAGATGAGATGGAAGAAGCCAGCTGTACTTCATGCCTCTAAAGAAAAAGACTCCAGGAAGAAGCTGACCTGAGAGGAGCTGGCAGTCTCCATCATGTCCCTATTCTCAGCTTACTATGCTAGAGACTTTGGGGAATTCCCCCTTGGGTGAGATTTAGGGGTCTTTCCTTTGATTGACTTGAGTTGCCTCATTCCTAGTGAGAGACAGCTCCTTCACTCTGTATGGTATGATATATGTTCTCATATGTAAACGTTCTCTGACTTCTATTTTTCTACTGACTTGGACAAATGGGTTTTTTGTCTAAGTGCTGTGTGTTCATTGTGGAACTGGTATATTTGGTGAGAGAGTAGTCAATCCTTGCATATAAAGCTCGGAGTCCTGCTTCTCTCAAGAAGTTAGATTAAGGGGGCAGCTAGGTGGCACAGTAGATAGAACACTGGCCCTGAAGTCAGGAGGACCTGAGTCCAAATGTGGCCTCAGACCAAACACTTGACACTAGCCGTGTGACCCTGGGCAAGTCACTTAACCCCAATTGCCTCAAAAAAAAAAGTTAGATTAAAACTAAAAAACCTTATCTCCTAGACTATGTATATACATATGTGTGTATGTATGTATATATATATATATATTTATATACACCTGTATGACATAGGCTATATAACTATTTAAGGGAGAAGACAGATGTAATTGTAGCCTAGTATCCCTTCTATCTGAGGAAAACAGAATGGCCCCGAGCACCAACTTCCTGTTTCCCCTCCTAGCAGGAATTAAAGTCTGCCTTGGAGAATGGTAGGGGGAGAGGAGGCTGGCTGGATGGATGTCTATCCTATCTCCCTCTGAGCCACACAATGATAGCCCCTCTCAACATATGTGTCTAGCTACATGTGGGGCCTTGCCACACATATGATCATAGTAACAACAGCAATAATAATAGGTATTATTATTACTAATATTGAGAGGTGATGTGGTATAGTGGATAAGGAATTGGCCTTGGAGCCAGAAAGAACTCAGTTCAAATTGTGTCACTAATATATACTGGCTATGTGACCTTAGGCAAGTCACTCTACCTCTTAGTGCTCTAGGAAACTCTTTAAGACTAATTTGCAAAAAAGGTACCATAACTGTGCTGGTAGAATGACTTTCCTTAGATGGGAGCTCCCTAAACTAATGAAATCACAGTTCTAGTTCCTAATCCTGTCCCTAGGTGGTCTGTGAATAACTTGTTTTGTTCAACTTGCCTGCACCTTCAAATGTACCAGTGTACAACATATGAGGATTCGTCTTGGGTCAGTGCATGAAAGATAGGGAGCGTATATTGCATAATTCTAATAACCAGGTCCTGTCTTGCTGGGTGCTAAGTTTTACAGCTTGCAGTGATATGTTTTGCAGTTTCTGTTGCGTTCTGCTGAATAATCTGCATTGATCACTAATTTTAGACTCTTAAAGAATAACGCTTTAGTAATTTCCTGTAGCAATGACTTTTTGCTCAACCGACATTGTAAAGGCCTCCATTTCCCCATGTAAATCCTCATGATTCAGCCATTTATTTGATGCTTTTTTGTTAAAATAGCGTTTGTTAGCTGAGTTCAAGTGAATGTTGAAGGTAATGATAATGTTAATAATAATAGCATATATCTCCCAGGGTTGCTGTGAGGATAAAATGAGATAAAGTACTTAGCACAGTGCCTGGCACATAGTAGGTGTTATATAAATGTTAGTTATTATTTAGATAATATTAATATTTATTATGAATGTTTATATACTATTAATATATTTATAAAGTGCTTAGCACAGTACCTGGCACATAGTAGGTGCTATATAAATGTTAGTTATTATTATTATCATCATCATTACTATTATTATGTTGCCTATGGAGGGACTTTTGAGTCTGTACTTGGATTAGACTGTTCATAGGCTGTTTTATTTAACAGATCCAATGGTGTGCACCTGTTAGCATCTATCATCATCATCATCATCATCTTGTCCTTTTCATCTTTTTCAAGGGGATTCAGAATGAAGTGGGCCTGGAACAAGTCACTGTCTTGCTATTGTTCTTCTATGTTTAATATTCTATGTACATTTGCATAAGTAATAAAATAACTGCTTTTTGTGGGTGAATAAAAGTATAAAGATCTAAGCTGATCCCTGATTATTGTCGTCCAGTCATTTTTCAATTTTGTCCAACTCTTCATAACCCCATTTGGGGTTTCTTGGCAAAAATACTGAGTGGCTTCTCCAGCTCATTTTACAGTTGAGGAAACTGAGGCAAACAGTCTGAGGCCAGATTTGAATTCAGGAGGGTAAGTCTTCCTGACTCCAGGCCTGGCACTATCCATTGTGCCACCTAGCTGCTCAATGGTATTGCCAGAGTCCAATTGGCCAGCATTTCAGGTTCCTGACAGGCCTTCACAGCTACTGTGGCTGCTAGGTGATGTGGAGAGAGCTCTGGGCTTAGAGTCAGGAAGATGTGAATTCAGAAATGGCCTCAGACATTTACTAGCTGTGTGACCCTGAGCAAGTCATTTAACCTCTGTTTGCCTCAGTTTCTTCATGTCTAAAATGGGAATAATAATAGCACCTACTCCCACCCCACTAGGGTTGTTGTGAGGATCAGATGAGATGTTTGTAAAGTGCTTAGCACAGTGCTTGGCACATAGTAGACTCTTAATAAATACTTGCTTTCTACCTTCCTTTTTACTGAAATGGTCTTAGGTCCCACAGAGTCTCTGCTGTTTGTCACCTTATCTGGCATTCCCCTGCTTTGCTGTTGCCCCTGCTTGTGACTTGGACAATGGGTTGGGTTTTGAGGGGGTTATTATTATTATTATGGTCATTGTTGCTGTTAATTATATTGCCAGTCATATAATATAAATAATGTGATTAATAGTAATAATAATCCAAAAATTTTTTATTTAATAAGGCATTAACAAACAGTCAAAATGATTTTCATTCCCCATTATGTTCAATTAAATAGTAGAGTTAGCTATTTAGAGAGATCTTTTTGCTGGATACATTTTGATATGACAGTGATTTAGTTTGTTTGAACTGTTTATTTCCCTAGAGATTAAATTAAATTCATTGAGCAAATTTTGCCTTTTGGACATGACCCCATTACAGCCCTAACATTTTCTATTCTAATATGTGCTTCCAATACAAGAATTCTAAAGTTATTTCTTTAGTAATTGGTAATGATGAACCTAGAAAACTTGATCTCTTCATTCTCTCTGTTGCATCTCCTGTAATCAGCTTAATCTATGTGTAAACCCTTGCATTAGAGGCAGCATGGCGCCATGGATAGAAAGCTCTCTTCGAAACTAGAGAGATGTGAGTTCAAGAGCTGCCTCTGACTCATACTGGCTATGCAACCTGCACAAGTCGATTAACCTTTTAATGCTCTAAATTTCGAAATATGTGCCAAGCTGCATGGCAAGATGGAGTTTCCTATATACCAATGAAATCATAGATCTAATCTTTATCCCATGATTTCCTGCATTCACTTATTATTGTTAATATTAATGCTTTCTTCTTGCCTCTAATGGCTTTGGATGCATTGCCCAGTAAGCTCTAGCCTGAAGAAAATCAATTAATTAAATGCCACTAACTTCCAGCATCTCCTTTTCAACAGTTGCTTAAGGTTTGTTCAGGGGTAGAAGCCTCTGTGTTTTAAATACCCCATGAACAAACAAAAAGAAATAAGAACTTATTCTTATCATTATGATGAGTATCCTTACAGTTTAAAAAAAAAGTCCATCTACTGTTTATCTTTACCCTTTGGCAAGTTAGACTCAGATAAAAAATTCATGCATGAGCAGGTCCAGCTGTGCATCCTTCCAGAAATCCATAATGAATGAGGCATGGGATGATCACATTTAAAAAAAAATTATTTAACCTAATTCTAGTTTCCTTTTTTTATGATTCTGTTAGGAGGGGCTCATTTCTTATCAGCTATTTCATAAAATGCAGGAACTGATAAGTTGAATGCAGTTGGATTAAAGTAAAAGACACATGGATTCAATTATTCCTGAAATACATGTTATCTAAATTATACTTGCATCTTTCAGGCAATATTGCATCAAAATGTATTTAGGGATTTTCCAGGATACAAACACCTTGAAAAGTATCACGTGCTGTTTTTCCAATCCCAGATCACTCCTGATTTTCATTATTTCTCTTCCTACAGAAAAAACTGAATGGACATTAAAATAGAAAATTTATTAAGGCATGAGTTTATCTATCCTATTGTTTGTCCTTCATTTCAAAGAGGACCAATGACATTACAGTGTGACATATTGACTCATAGGTGAATCAGGTTTGAGTGAGGCAGAGTTGCACAAAGTTGTCAGCCTCACTCTCTCTTCTGGAGTCATCAAAATCCAGTGGCAAGACAAAAATCCAGATGACTGGTGATGGCCTGGGATGCAGTAGATGATCTTGGTGTCTTTAATGTCTGACCAAACTGTAAGCACATCACAGTGCCTTCTTCTGCCATCTTCATGGCAGTTGGAACAAATTGTTCTCATCTGCCCATTCTGCTGGAGGAAGTATTCACATGGTTGAGGTAGACATCCTCCTAACTCACTAATGGGTTTGAGGCCTGTTGATTCTCTTCACTGGTTCTCCATCCAATGCTCAGTAAACAATCTCAGTTTCTTAAAGGGAGAAAGGAAGATATTATTATAGCTGTCTTGGCATATTTGAAGGGTTGTCACATAAAGACTGAAGGAGGGTTCAGGATAGTCACAGGGATTTGAGAGACTATTGTTCAAAGAGTTTATCTTCATGACTTTCTTCTTTTTTTTTTTTAAAGGGAGAGGGTGCATGGTGTTCTGGAAAGATTAATGGGTCAGGAGACAAAGACCTCAGTCCAAATCTCTGCTGTTTTCTTATTAGACGTGTGACCTTGGACAAATCGCTTGAACTCTCTTGGCCTCAGTTTAATTATTTATAAAAGGAGATGTTGGAGTATATGTTTGCTTCTGCCTATAAATCTGATGATCAGATGCTTTTTCCTAGGTATTAAAGAGAATATGATTGTCTGAAGGCAGAAGGCCCATGGATACATGTCTTCAACCCCTTCCTACACCAGGGGCTCAGTGAATTCCTGCTAACCCCTTCCCACTCTGAAGCATCCCACTTAGGCTTGTTATCTTTGTAAGATAGCCGTGTTCCACATGAGTACAGCCACCTAACTCTTAGCATCTAAGCTTTCTTCTTTTTCATCCTGTTTCCTCAAGAAGCTACTTTGTTTAAGGCAGTATTTGGCTAATCCTATAAACTAATTCAGGCTTCTGGGATTGATGGTCACTAATGTATTAACTGGAGAGGGCTAGCAGCTTTGATTCTTTCGTTTCTGACAAGTAACATATATTCCTGTTAACAGGGCGCTTTTATAGATAATGCCTCACTCTGCAGTGCCTTGGGTGAGCAACCACCTCCTCATTTGACCAATGTCTAAGGTTAGGTCTCACCCCTGTCAGTAACATGCCTCCTAGGAGTTAGAGCTATCTGATCTAGCACAGCCGGGTGGTCTAGAAGGTAGATCTGGTGGGATCCAAACTGAAGTCCAAATGCTGTTTGACTTTACCTAGTACGCTCACTGCTGGTTGAGTGGCTGGGGTACTTGGGTACCAACAGATGTCTGGATATCGAGATCTTTTCCAAGCTTCCTCACTAGATGATTAGATTAAACACATGACCTCTTGGTAATTACATTTACAAAATGGAGGTCAGTTTAAATCATAGTTCCTACTTGGATTATTTGGACAATAATTGTGAAGTGAATTAGAATTTCAGACTTGGAAGATTATCTTAGAAATCACCTAATTCAAACTTCTCATTTTCTTGATTAGGGTTAGGGTTATTAGGACCAGCGAGGTTTTGACTTAGAAATTAGTGATCTTGACATGGCTGATTAGAGCTTAGTGATCTGGACATGGCTGAGCTTAAAAAAATAGCGAGTATGGATAAAGTGCTTTAAAGTTTGCAAAGTGCTTTACAAATAGTTTCTTATTTCATCCTCCCAAAAACCCTGAGAGAGAGGTGTTATTATTATCTTGATTTTGCAGATAAGGAAACTGAGGCAGACAGAGGTGAAATGACTTGCCCAAGGTCACACAGCTAGTAACTATCTGAGGCTAGATTTGAACTCAGGTCTTCCTATCCCCAAGTCCAGCTCTCTATCCACTGTGCCACCTAATAGTCACCTATAACTCTCATAAGCTTGGCTAGCTAGTTCTTCAGCTTATAGAATGAATATTAGAATCTATAAGTCACAAGCAGTGGCACTATTGGAGACAAGCGTACACAGAAGAGGCAGCTCACAGTTGAATAGGCTGGAAGCCACAGGAAAAAAAAATAGAATCAAACACAAAAATGAGAGTAGCCCTATGATCTGGGGTCATCGGGTTCAGGTAAATAGATCTCTATATACCTCAATATCCCCTAAAGGCATTGCTTTATTACTAATTGTGTGATAACTAGTCCTGCACCAAAATCTCTGCCTCATTGTGGCATGGTATTAATCCTGGCCAGCTATGTTGGCTGACAACAAACTTTAGAAGGATTACAAGGAGAGGCTCCATGAAGGCTTTAGTATCAAAAGCCCAACAGAACTGTTCCAAAAGGCAATCATCAGTTGATAGATTTTTTTTTGGTGGCCACAGTAATTCATGAAGCTGTCTGCTAAAGTTTTATCTGTGGGACTGTGATATGTGTCCACGGAGGAGGCGCCCCCATGGATGAAATCCAAGATCTTTTGAAGTATAATAGAAGATGTCCATAATAATAAAAAACCTGAGCCACAGAGAAAAACTTTCAATCATGTTCATTGTTCTCTGTTTAGGAAGCCAGAACTGTGCATGGTACATTTTTTAAAAATTAATTTATTTTGATTTATCAATGATCACTTCCATAAGCTTTTGAGTTTTAAATTTTTCTTCCCCTCCTTCCCCACTTCCCTCTCCAAGACAGTGCACAATCTAATATAGGCTATACATATGCATTCCTATTAAATGTATTTTCACATTAGCGATGTTGTGAGTAAGAATTAGAATCAATAGGAGGAACCACTAGAAAGAGGAAACAGAACACAACAGAAGTTAAAAAAAATAGCAAATAATATGCTTTGATTTGCATTCAAACTC